TAAGCACAAATTATGTTATCTAAACTTTCTCATCTTATCATTCTGTCGGTTTTTATTCCGATGTTGATTTTGTTAATTGAGATTAGGGGAGTCATGTATTCTGCATTCTTCTTAATTGGAGTTTAAGTCTGATCTTGGAGTGTTGAGAGTATTTTTCACTTGTTTTTTTATTTGATTCAGGGAAAAAAAATTGTTATACAGGTAATTCATTGATTTTTGTGGTCGAATGAATTTTTGTTACTTCCTTTTACTACAGTTCTATGCAGTAGAGCTGAGAATCTGAGCAACTTCATTCAGGCTGATTCGATTTTTGGACCAGTATGTTTGTTCTTCTCATTCGACCTTCCTCTTGAAATTCTTTCTTGTTCAGATATGAATTACGAAGCTCATAAATGGCAATGTTTAGTAAATGTGAGCTGTTTGAATAGCAACAGGAATTGTTTATAAAAAATATATCATTTTTTACTACTGTGCGGCTATTGTTAAAGTCTGAATTTGTAATATATTTCCTTTCACTAAACACTACATCTTCGGTTAATCAATGCTCAAATTCTCTTTCTGGAAATTCAGAATGAGAATAGCTTTACCTATTCTTTGTATCTGTCTTAGAAAACCTGCTGTTGATCCTCCATTGACTTCTTTATGGCTGAGAATTGAGAAAGAGAAACTCACACTTTGACCCGTGATCACAGCTTCTATACACCCTTTTGTTACTTTGAAACATTTTTGTTGCTCTGTCAATTTTATATAATTGGAAAACACGGTAACATCTGATTTACAATACAACAAATGCTGTTTTCTTCTCTCATGTGCTCTATATTTATGTAAGTTATTGGCCAATAAGAGCGATAGCCGTGACATGTTATGCAAGAAACAATGGTCTGTTCTTCTTTTTACACTGAATTGAAAATTGATTTAGTTTGACCGCCCAATTTGAAAATTCTCTTCTTGGGAAGAACTACATTCCAATCAGGACCTCCAAATTAGCTTCGTCTCTGATACTAAATTCGAATGATTTATGACCTATAAATTGCTGACCTCTTTGGTATTGGTGGTGATTGTGTTTCACAATTTATTCTTAACATTCCTCGGTTTGAAGTGCTAGAGAACTTCACATTGGTATGGTCTTCACACTTGCAGGATGCTCGACTTGTATACAAGACATATGCCACACTGTATTTTGTCTTCATATTTGACAGCTCTGAAAATGAGCTTGCAATGCTAGATCTTGTGCAAGGTACATCAAAGCCTCATCTTCTAGTTAATCATTCAGTTGCTTAACCTGATGTAGCCTTTAATGTTAAATGCGTGGTTATAGCTATCAGTTCATTGACCCATTGCCATTAAAACAGCTGAAACAATAAAAATAAATATGGCTCAATCAGTGGTTTCTTTATTTTTCAAAATTTCTGCTTGTAGTCTAATATGTATATCCATAATATTCTAAGGTACTTAGTTTCTCAGATTGAATCAGACAAATGCTTCTGAATTTCAGTTTTCGTGGAGATATTGGACAAGTGCTTCAGTAATGTGTGTGAGCTTGACATAGTGTTCAACTTCAACAAGGTCAATATCTCTTTCTCTTTCTTCTGAAGTTAAATTAGTAGGGGCATGCATTAACAAACTTGTAATGGAGGGGGATTTAATGTGGAATCATTAGGAGTTCCTTCAGACTGAAATCCCATGGTAATATTCCATTAGATAATCCCAGTTTTTTTATGTTGTGACAGAAGTAGATAGAAGGGCCAATTAACCAAAGATGATTAACTGATTTGTAATTTTACAAAGCTTACTATGAGTTTGCTAGATCAAAGTTAGTTTAAGGTAGCTGTCAATGATGAATATCACACGTTACTTCTTCACTGTGGAAAGAATAAGGTTGAACACCTTTAATCTTGTCTCTATTGAGCTTAGTTGGGCACCAAACTCTATTCTAGGTCCAAGCAAGGTATAGTGATTTCACTACGCACTCCTGTGGTACATCCACATACTGCACCAGTTGCAATGGTGGTGTTTTTAAGCTTTACACCAACTCTGATGAGGTGGTAGTTTTTTTTGTCCCAGTGTTAGCCGAGTGCTTTTAGTCCAATTAACAGGTCTTTACTAGGAATTCTGGTTTGATGACTTCCATACATGCAGTGTAGGCATATGTGCTTGTCAGATCGACGGGTTTTTCCCAAACATTACAGGAACTTCTCTCTAGTTCGATTACTTCTATGCATATACACATGCATGTTTTCTCAAAAAGTCGAGGACCTTTCTGTCTAGTTCGACAATTTCAATTCATATGGGTAAGCCTTTGATTCGTCTGGTAATTGATTTTGCAGGTGCATACTATATTAGATGAGATCATTTTGGGAGGTCAAGTTCTTGAGACAAGTTCTTCAGAAGTTGTGAAAGCAGTTGAAGAAATCTCAAAGTGCCCATCTCTCTCTCTCCCCCCACCCAAAACGAAGGGGTTTTTCGATTGATGCCAACTACTTCCTTTGTGCAGGTTGGACAGGGCCTCAAATGGAAGCATGCTTGTGCCAAAATCCATTTCTGGCTGGACGAGTCGATAGCACATTATTTCCCTAGTAAGATCTTGGAATTTTAATATTTTGTTAGTCAACTTACAAGGATTCACCTCCTTTACTCAGAATTGGTTTGAAATGATATGGACTTCTGAATTACCAGAACTCTCCAGTTACTGGAATGCACCTAAGATTAGGGTATATCCCCACACAAGTGATGTTCTTGATTTCTAGAGCTTTGTAAGGCACAAATGTTGCTTCTGAACCAGAGATCATCTTATTCCTGCATGCACAAAGGGCCACCAATTGGTTTTGCCACCGCAAGAAGCATACTGGAATAATGTAAATGACATCTTCCTGAAAATCATTTCAGCCCCTACGAACTTACTCTACATACTACATACATGACAGAGCGTAATAACTCTTGCATATTTCTCTATACCTGTACATATATGCATATAAACACTTATGTCTTGCTTTATTTGCTGCAACAAATGAAAGATGTGTAAAGGAAACTTGTTTATTTACTGAATATTCTACATTCACTTCATGTTTGTTAACACATCTATTTATGGCCTTGAATCTGTAGACTTATTCTGTATGCTTTTATGTGGCTAGTATGCTCCATTAAAAAATTCCTATTATGTCAAATGCAATGAGTAGTTGGAACTGTGCAAGCGGCAAACCCATTGCCACTTATGGTAGCTGACCATAAAGACAGCGACTGAGCCAAAAGTAATGCTTGGTGCATACGTCTGGTTGCCTGACTGTTCATTTTGTTGCTGTAGGGTTGTGAAGGATGGTAGTAAAAGTCAACGGAAGGTGCGTCAAAGCTGAAAAAAAAAATGAGCAACAATGGTTTGGATGCAGTTGTAGAACATTCTGTTGCAGCTCATAATTAGTATCTGGTAGGTCTTGAAATTCGGTTTGTCCTGCAGTCACATGAAGTTTCAGAAAACCAGGATGCTGGTAATTTCACATATCGTTGGAGAAAAAATTGCTATTTGTTTTTTGGAGAGTGTAAAGAAGTTCATAAAAGCTCTTTGTATTTCTGATTCTCTCAATTTAGACAAAGACTGGTAATCAGATGAGGGCAATCAGTTCCCCATGAGTTGACAGTAATACAGTTTGAATTTTCTTCTAAGCAACAACGATAACATACGGTCTTGTTTTCTCTCTATTGGGTCTGTTTGCTTAAATTTGTATTTTTTAGAAGCTTTGGAGTAAAATAAGGCATGTCTGTTTGGACATTAACTTTTTTTACCAACTTATGCAGTAATTTGTTAGACCCGAAAAGGTATATTTAGATTGATTCAAGAAGTTAATTTTATGAATTTTTCTATTGATTTTTTAGATTTTAACTCTGATTTTTTTGCGAAATATTTCAAACCACAACTTATCACCTACAAAAAACAGTTTCAAGTAGGCCCGTTGTGTAAATTTCTTGGTTCTTCCACTTTTTTGGTGCCCGGAGCACTCTGGGAAAGTTTTCAATTGCCTCTGCCACCTTCATTCTGGAGGTCTTTTGGGTAATGTTGATTCTAAACCTTTCAAAGTATGCTTGCTTATAGGTCTTCAATGCTACTAGGTCTCTTGCTAAGCAGTTTAGAGAGAAGGAGATGAGAGTGAGCCTTAGTCCTAACTCTATCCGAAACTTGCAAAACTGTGAAACAATTCAGAACAGAAAAAATCACTTATTTTTTTTCCCTCCCAATTTGGAAGAGGTTTGGACCACTACAATATACATTCCACAACAGGACCAGCAATAAAGATCAATTACAGAAAAATTGCAGCTTGTTTTTTTTTTTTTTTAATTTAAACAAGCCATCAAACAAATAAGAAACAAGAACCACCACTGGCAATTCTCTTCTGTCTCTGTTTCCATGAAGTCCTAAAATCAAAAACCCATAAACAATTGGGCATCGCCGACAAGAATCTCCTCCACATTTCAGTATCCATTCCTCTTCAGTGGGCCTGTCGAACACACCAAGAACGAACAAAAAATGGCTCTGCCACCCCAGAACTCCAAAATGGAGGAGAATATACAGGGGCACCAACAAGCAAGGCACTCAAATAGGAAGCCTGCTGTGTTATTAACAAAAAACCTCTTTTCTAGTCCTCATTTGCCCTCTTCATCATGCTCATCCAGCGGTTCGGGGAAAATCTCCTTGGACTGCCATCGAGTCGAGGATGAATGGCCACCGCCTTCACCATTTTGACCACTTTCTTGAGAACCCGTGGTTCCTGACCGTATAAAGCTAATCCCACCTTCCGCTTTGTTAGTCGGGGCTTCAGAAACGGCCGCTACATCTGACGAGCTTTGACGCCAGCTACCAAACAGAGCAGCATTCCAAGACCCTCTAGAGGAAGTAGTTCTCAGCCTTGCAGAACTAGTGTGTTCTTCCCTTACTACTTTCAATGGATTTTCTAAAGCTTTAAGGATAAATCTCATAAGGGGCCGCCTTGAAGGCTTGGGATTGAGGCAAGACCTGGCAACAACAGCGATGGCCCAAACTTCCTCTAATAAATCTTCATATATGACTAGAGATGGGTCAACAATATTTGTCACGAGTTCCTTGTCATATATACTAATGTAGGGTAGCGTCGCTTCCAACCAATCCTTCATGGTGGCATCACTGGATGCACTTATACCCAGCTTGCCTGTTACCAGCTCGAGCAACACCTTCCCAAAGCAGTAAACATCATAGGCACATGCCGCAGTAGGTGTACCTGTCCATTTCCAAATGAGAAAGAAAATTTAGAAACAACAAGAACATTGAAGTAAGTTCTAAATTTAGGGGTCTAAGTGATTTAAATACTTTCAACCTTCAAACTTCATGGTCAGCCGCGGCTGGATCTCAATTGGTCAGAATTAACAAATGAGTTTATAACCATTTTTTGTGTCAACCAATAACGGAAAACCAAATAAAAAATGGGGGAGAGCTCATCAATTCACAAAAGTAGCAAAAGCACTGAGGTCCAAAGTCCAAAACAAAAACAGGACAAGCAATTTGAGTATAACAACATACAAAGGTGAATTTACCCCCCAAAACAATTACAGCTACAACTTGCCATAATTCCAATGGGAAATCTCTTAACCATCTGCTCTTTTCCCTAAATATGTTCAATGAAAGAATTACACTTAGCACATTGCCCCTCCCCCTCTACTAACCCAAATGGTTTCATTTTGTCTCACCAGTTAACATCCATTATGTTTTGAATGGGAAATTACCATAATGGATGTCGGTTGTTGGAGCAAAGTGAAAATCATTTGATTAGTTAAGTGGGCAATGTGAGAACATTGACAGTAAGGGGAAAACTTGTATTGGTTTTTGGAGTCTCTCATGCAATACAGACGTGTTTTTTGCCCTCCAACAGTGGCAAGCAGCTCTATGTACCAAACTTACTTTGTCCTTCCAGTAATTTAATCAATGACAATATATTAAGATGGAAAAAGCAACAGGTCGATCTGTTGAAGAATATAAGGCAGTTCACCATAAATAGGCTTTCAAGTAAGAACCATAAAAAAGGTCAAAACAGACAATCTATAAGCATGAGTTTATATAAAACAGGGTGCACCATAAGGTCCCATGCCAACAAGACACAGTATCTGTATTACAGAAACAAGTAACCTCATAGATCCTGATTCTCTATAGCTATAGGGGTAGCACTGACAACGAAGGCTTCCCAGTGATATTGGTTGCTTAATTACATGCTATCTTGTTTTTAAGTGCTAGTATGTGCAGAGTAAAAGGCTACATGAGGTCCAATAAGTCACCTATTATTGGCAGACAAGAAAAAACCAATGGCAAATTAAAATAACCAAATTGCACTTACCAGAAGACCCTTGTTCAGATGTCCTGCACATAAGGAAGAGAAGATTTTTGTTACAACCTCAATTCAAGCAACATAAACATGTGAAAAATCAGTAACTTTATTTAAAGTTAAAATAGATATCTTCACTCCGTTATTTTAATGTTGATAAAGTTTTGATGACTAAATACGCAATAGAGCAAAAGTACGCACAGAACAAATAGACACCTATAAGTTGCAGGATAATACTTCCAATTTGAGAACATCATAATGACATCTGCCCTAGCTTCAATTCAATTCCATATAAAGAAAAGTCATTCCAATAAATGAAGTTGTTGATGCCCGAAAATGAAGTTGTCAATTCTAACAAATAATAAATTAATAAATGCTCAATCCATATTGGCGAGCAACAATCTGCACCAAGTCACCTTTATCGTACATTTGTCAGACAAGGTAAATAACAAATGACTCCAAAATCCAAATCTAGTATGCTGCCATTTAATGTAGTTTTCACCGTGACAAGAACGTTTGAAGGATGATTCCAAACTAACACTCATTCGCACTTGCACATTAAATGCATCTTTCAAAAATGTTGAACTGCCCTTTATTTGAAACAATCAGATCCTAAATTATAAGTAACATATCTTCAAGTTCGCAGTTTCTGTGCTACATAATACTTGCACATTCTCTATCTGCTCTCTCAATACTTTCCATCATCCTCCATATTTGAAGGCATTTTTGCCAGCTCTTACAGTCTCAGTTTGCAGCTGTAAGTTTCTGATTGAGCATATTTTTAAGTATGGCTCTTTTGAAAGCAAGAATAACACGGAATAATAAACCATGTCACAATTTTAGAGTTTTTATTTTAAACAGACAACCAAAAGGAACCCCTTCTAGGACTTTGAAAGCATGGTCAAAGTCTGAAAAATCTATAAGAAACGTGTTTTCCACAGTTTATGAATCTCAGCAAAACTGAGGAATACTTACTGTGGTAACCGCAGCAACCTGGTAATTCTGTTTTGATGAGTGTCCCCTTCTTGTGCACAGACCTCACTTAGGCTCCCTAACCGCACTTCAAATTTATCATCAAGAAGTATGCTGCTGGCTTGAACATCTCTTCAGTAACCAAAAAAATGCACTCTTAGTACTTGGAAAACTAGGCATCAATATTTCTAAAGCAAGCTAGAGAAGAGTTAGAGCCCAGAGAAGACATCAATAAAATTCCAATATTGTAGATACATTGGCTGGCTCAAATTGTTTGATTATAGAAATAAACTGTTCTTAACTCTCCCTCTCTGGCTAGAGGAAGGGTTTACAATTAAATCAAAGTTTGATACATGCACCACCTACCTTATACCTCTTAAATGACCCTTAAGGGGGGTGGAGGAAGAAGAATATACATTGAGTGGATCTAAACAAGCCTTTCTGGTGTTGTGCCAAATTACGAAGCAGGCAACAAGGTCTACTCATATACCCAACTACATAACCCAACCCTCTAACTTCCTCAAGTTCAAAATGCCTAATTGATGAAAAAACTCACTACATTTCCTAAACATAAGTACAATCGACCTAACGTCAATTAAAATACATCAATAAGGAAGAAACAACAGAAAAAATTACGAAGATAAAAAGTCATCAATTTATTCCCATGTTTTTCTGACCTCATGAATTTCTCTGCATCTCTATATATTTTCCTAAGACCACTTTTCATTACTTTTTAGTAACTCCAAATTTCACAATCATCTCCACAGAAATTGAAACCGCAACCAAGAAACTTTTGTTTTCTTTAGAAAGTCCCATAGCTGTGAGGCTTAACAGACAAAGAAAATGGTGAATACTTTTCCACTAGTTGGGTAGAAGGTGACGACACGGCTACACGAGTGGTTAAAAACTGTCAACAAAAAGTGGAAACTCTCTTTGGATTCCTGAACTGAAGATTCAGGTAAAAATTGATTCCTTTAGGCGAGCAGTTCAAGATAATATAACAGAGTAACCTCAGTAAAACCCATATCAAAGAATTAGAAATAGTTGGCTAGAATATGAATTCCGCCGAAAAATATGTTTCAGAATTAATAAAACATAATAGAACAAAATAAGAGGAGAGAACACTTTAAGGAAAGATGCTTCCAAGGTAATTGGAGCATTTCATAAATCTAGCAGGTGGAAAGAATGCTTAAATAAATTTGGGAACCACATAAAATCTTTCCTTCCATGTGTAGTGACAAAACCTAAACTTTAATTCCTTGGAACACTTGTCATTTTATACTTCTTTCGCATACCAAAATTTGTATATCTTAACACCCAAAGTTTTCAGTTACGTGTGAGTTTCCAAGAAGTGTTGGTAGCATGTCCAACAAATCTGAAATGTTGTCAGACGTCAAGGATAGGGCTTCTTTGAGTCTCTGTGCTTCTCAGCTCATCCCAAGTTAACAGCCAGAATTTGTAGACTAACACTGCATAACAGCGACCAGTTAGCAATATTTACACTTCTATTCTATGTTAGGCAGTGTCCCCTTATTGCTTGACATTTGTCGCCCATGTGTGCAAATTGCAATGTCAAAAGCTCTTTCCTGATAGACTATGTGTGTGTCCAACACGTCAACACGTGTTGGGTAAGGGTTGTGAAAAGCATTGTACGCTGCTCAGGAATAGTTGGTGCTGCTTAGCCCATTACGAATAAGAGAAGGATGTTTATAAGATGAATTTATAGAAAGAATTTGAATTTACAAAGTAGGAAGTTCAATGAATTCATCGACTAGCAAATCTCTCTGCAACAATCAGCTCATTAGAGTACGTGACGAGTAATAAGAAAGCAGTGGGGATAAGAACAAAATGGCAGCAACAAGAAGAAAGAGAAGTGCAATACAAGCAATTCCTGGAAAGGCTGGAGTACCTGTGAACAAGGGGTGGAGTACATTCATGATGTAGATAAGACAGACCCTCTGCAGCTCCTATTGCAATTTTTAGTCTCGTTATCCAATCCAATGACTGTAAAGGATCGTCGGCCAAATTATTTTTCTTAAACAAAGAACTTGACAAGTCTCCATTGGGCATATATTTGTAAATCAGAAACTTCTCGTTCTCAATCTCCAAACAATGTCCCACGAGAGATACCAATCTAGGAATAGAAACCTTGCTGAAAAAGTCCAACTCTAACATGTGTGCTTCCTTTTTCACGGAATGCAAACTAATTCTTTTAATGACTACAGGAATCCCACCTTCAAGGATACCCCGGAAGAGATCACCAGAATGACCATGTTTAATGAAGTTTGTATCACTGAAGTCGCCCGTGGCTTGGAGAATCTGCTGATATGTAAATGCTTCCCCCAGACTTGAAAAGTTCAAAGAAACTCCAGGAAGAGGTGGACTTCCACCAGTTGGAACGGCTCCCACACCGATACCTCTTTGGGTGGCTGCTCTCCTCTTACGGCTGCAGATAATCACCACTACCAGCACAACTACCACCAGGGCAATGAATCCGAGACCCCCCAGAACTCCTGCCAATATGATTAAGGTTCGGCGGTTCTTCTTGTTGGATTTGGGAGGGGAAGGTGGAGGTTGGGTGGCATTTGGCTGTCCAAAATTATCAAATGTCAGGCCCTTTGCAGCATAGAATGATGCACATTCCGCCGCAGTCCTCTGACTTGACACACTTTGGAGGCAATTTTCAGTCAGGGACGCATTACTACGAGCATAATCCGGAACCTTACCTTGGAAATAATTCCCAGACAGATCGATAAAACTGAACCTACTGATTATGGATGTAAGATCTCCATAAAACATATTCTGGGAGAGGTTAAAGACTGCAGTGGTGGTATTAGCATTCGAACTAAGATTAGGCAGTGTACCGGTGAGATTATTGGCAGAGGCATCAAGAAATCGCAATTCAGGCATTGACCACAATATATCAGGAAGATCACCAGTGAAACCATTGTGACTCAGAACTACAAACTGCAACTGAGACAAAGGAAGAAACAAATTACCTGGCAATGCGCCTGCGAGTAAATTGTTCCCAATTATCATTTTCTGCAAATTCCTTAACCCTCTCAAATCGGACGGCACTGACCCAGACAAAAAATTGGAGCTAAGATCAATGTCAACCAAATTAGAAAGGTCGCCGAGTTGTGGTGGCATCGAAGAAGACAAGTTATTCACAGAAAGATTCAAGAACTGAAGCTTTGACAATGTCCCAATCGTCGGAGGAATAGTCCCGGACAAGAAATTCGAAGACATGTCAAGTAAAGTAAGATTTCCAAGAAAGGCGAAGGAGGAAGGAATGGATCCAGCAAGCGAGTTTTGAGAGAGATCAAGAACTGAAAGGCGAGACAACTGACCCAAACTAAAAGGAATTATCCCAGTAAGACTATTATCGGACAAATACAAAGCAGTAAGATTAGTTAAATTTCCAAGACTAGAAGGTATTTCACTGATAATTGCACAATTGCGAAGATCAAGCAGTTGGAGTGAAACAAGCCTAATTCCAAACCATTCAGGAATTGAACCGGGAAGAGCAAATCTAGAAGCATTAAAGAACTGTAAAAAAGTGAAATTTGAAAGAGCATCGACTGAGAATTGAGGATTTTGACTACCAATTCGTGTACGTTGAAACCCAGAAATGTTGATCCCAATGACTCTACCGTTCTGGCATTGTATACCAGTCCAGTTGAAGCAAGGGTCAGCCTTTATAGGCCACTCTTTTGCTCTCAAACCTAATGATGATCTCAGTTGAAGCAAAGCCAATCTCTCCACCCGCGAACTCAATGGCACATTCAATTGTTCAAGACTAGAGTTAAACAGTAGAAAGAACAAAGCCCACAGAAACACTACCCTTCTACGCTGATCCACCATGACTACCTCCCTTGAATTTTCATGTTCTTGATGCACATAACATATTTGTGTTAATGCCTGTGTACGCAATCATGCAGTGAAATTGGGGATTCTTGGGATACACGTACAAACATTTTCTCTCTCCAATACTATTGTTCTTACCTGACTCACAACAAACTTTGATCCTATTCCCGCAACCTATTGTACTATTCTTTACTTCTTGATTCTTCACAACCAATCTCTCTCTCTACCCACCCTCTCTCTCTGTGCACTACTTGTGCTTTCAGTTTCTTCTGTTGACGGAGGAGAGTTTGAAGAACTCAACTAAAAAGTTGGACAAAACTACAGTTTGTGAGAGAGAGAGAGAATAGTGAATAATAGTAGTAGAGAGAGAAAGTGGGCTGGCTAGTCAAGAATATAGCTATCCATCACTGTCACCAACAAAGCTACTGCGGCTAGAAAGCGAGATTCAAAGGGGCTTTTTGTTTACCCACGTATACATACATACAGACTAAATATTTATATATATAATAATGTTACATGTATTTAAAAATTAAACTTGATAATTTTAATTATTAATTTTATTGTAAATTTTAATATTTATTAAGACTCATTATTTATTTAATAATTAAAATTATTAAATTTAATTTTTAAATTTATCTAACATTACGCTTTATATATAACGCTGACATTTCTAACGAATCAAGGGGTTTTGGTCTCATGCTCCGAGAGAGTCTGATCTTTGACACTATTCTCGCCGGAAATGGAAAAGCGCTTTTAATGGAAGGCTGGACCCAGACGAGCCGGGGTTGAGCCTGACCAGGACCTATGGGAGAGAGGACCCGTGGCTAGGCCTGGTTGGGTTGGGCCTGACACTGGACTGGAGAGAGAGAGAGAGAAAAATGGAGAGGCATGTCCGGTGGAGGGTTTGACCGCCGTTATTTCCGCCCAATCCAGCTAAGCTCTAAACCACCACTACACTGGTTTAGTTGTTTATTACTACTTTCTCTCTCTAAGATTCTGAATGTTTATTTATAGATTTGATGATTCAAAACAGCGTTTTTCTTGATCGGTGTGTTTTAGGTATTTGAGGATGAGTAATGACATGTATCCAAATTTATTAAGGAAGATTATTGGATCAGTAGATCTTATTTAAAAAAGTTGAGGAGATGCATTGATCTAATGATTTTTCTTGATTTAAGATACAAATTTAAGAAACATAACACTACTTTGATGAAAGACTATTGCATCATATAAAAGTTAAATTATAATCTTTTTAGGTATATATCACCGGTGAAAAAAATATTTTATAATTTTATTAATAATTAATCATTATGAATTATTTCAAATAATTTTAATTTTAATTTTTAAAAAGTATAATTTAATTTTAAAAATATATAAAATACTATTTTTTATATTTTTATATTTTTTGTGATAATGAAAGACTATCAATGGTGTAAAAAAGAAAATTTCTACATAACCCCCCCCCCCCCATTATTATTCTAGCTGCAAAGGTAGTCAAAATTATATTATATTTTTTTATTTGGTTTAACGGTAAGATTTTTTAGACTAATTTACGTATATCTCTCTTAATTTTCTTTCTGATCCAGTCAAAAATATGGTATTCACGCCGAAATTAGGGTATTTATGAAAAATAAATTTCTCGTCGTCTAGTGTCAAGAGATTGTCAAGATTCTAATTCAGAACATCTAAATTTACATTTACAGTTCGTCTCTATTATCATTTAATCTCCCACGAACATTTGATATGTCACATTCACACCTTCAAAGTTTGCATAATTGATTACATGTTTGTGTTGTATTTTTTGAATAAATTAAAAAAATGGGTGAGTTGCGCCAGACATGGGAGAATAGTGCATTGTGATGGTAGTGGAAATTAATAATATGGTTTGGGAGTGTTACTAGGGGTGATGATTATTATTTTTCTATAACTAATCTTAGTCTAATGAGAGGTTGATCATTTTCTAATGTACTTTAAACATTAGGTTTAACTAAATAAATGTTTGGTGCTAGTGGATAAAAGGATGACACCTTCATTGCTTACTTACTCCCATTTTGCTTTATTAGTAAGTGTTAATATACTCGTGCACGGTAATAAAAACATTGTGAAAACCTACACATTGGTGTAATTATCAAATAATGGTTAGTCACCACCGACGTGGTGATGTAGTAGTCTCATCTTTTTTTAGTGGTTATGGGTTTGAATTTACTTGTAGTAATAGTTCTTATGAATTAGATACTGTTAGAAAAACTAAATGTCTAGTTTAGACTAAATGTCCAACTTGACCTCGGTGATTCTGTGGTAACAGATTCGACTGTCTCAGGTTAGTAGTTATGGCTCAAATTGAATATCTTGCAACGGATAAGAACTTCAAGGGAACGTCTTGGGGGTTACTATGCCTAGTTGCACCTAACCACCCTTATTAATGAGCAAAAAGGACAAAATTAATAGTTAGTGTAAGTTCATATGTTCTGAGATCGAGTCAATATTATAACCGCATAAAAATCAAAATTTAACTAATAAGCGTGGTATATAGATGATTATGTGTATATAGAATTGGCGTTGCAATTATGATGCAAAATATGAATGGTTGAGACGATTTCTTGTGACAAAAAACCACAAAAAAAAATATATATAATAATAATAATTGTGTATGCCACTCAAAGATTCTTACAATGGATGCCTCTGCTGGTTTGATACATGCTCATTTATTTAGAACTGTGGCTGATGACTATATGTGTGTGTAATGTATTTGACATGGACCAACAACCTCCATATGTTATTTTTTTTTCCCCTCTTTCCTAATAAATTTTCACCCACAACCACCCCTTTGATGTACCAGATCAAAAGAAAATCCACCAAATTCTGCAAAGTGTACAACTGACTTTGTTTGTACATTTAACACTTACCATTACCTTGTAGTAAATAAAAAACTTTCAAAGAAAAAATAGAATATAACTATCTTGAGTCGTGACGAATAATTTCAATATTTACTTCTAACAAGGATTAACCCTAATTTCTGATTGAGAGTATAAGGGCAACTAATTAGACTTGTTTAGTTGTCAGCTTTCTTTCTTTCTTCTATTGCACACAGTATGAGTTTGTTTTTTGCATTAAAAAATTATTTTTCGATAACATAACTATTTGTTTCGTCTAATCAAAACATAATACGTATAAAATAAATTTTTTATTTATTATTTTCAAAAATAGTCAGAGATAAATTAAACCAAGATTTATGGGTGAAAATCATTTGTTGTTTTGATACGAACTTTAAACTTCCTTATTTCCTGATGAAGGTGGCCTTTTACTAATTTTTTTAAAAAAAATTCAAGGACGAGCTTATATATTATGTAGCTTAGTTTTTATTGTAAACATTCATGGTGCAATAAAATTAAACATCTATATTTACATTTTCTACTCTTGCTGTTAATCCTGCTTCAACCCGCTGCTGTGAGCCATGACAAGTGTTCATATCAATGGTTATTTGCCTCATAACCAAGGGGGGAAGGTTTTCAACATTAAGGGTTCCCTGATAATTATTCCTTAGCCCCCATTGTGCCAGTTAAACAAACAATTAACATGGAGAGAAGAAGTATGTACTTTTGACTTAAGCTCATCTTATATTTTATAGAGTTTAGAATCGTGGCTAGAATAAAGTGACACACCTATGTTTTAGCCAAATCTTATCAAATTCACGATTGAACATTTCTAGGTTTTATTTCTCATTAGTCGATTTTTTAGGTCACATGTGCTCCTTAATAGTTGCCTCTATCCTTTCCCGATAGCTTAGCTATCCATTGTTCGGGCGAACCTAATCCTTATCTGTTGAATTGTGAAATTAGAGTCTCATTGGGATTCAGTTATGTCTTTGTTGACTACTCGGTAACTTTACAAACCCAAGTATTCGACACGAGATTCCAATCCCGGTTAACTAGCGACAATATCTGTTTGTTTGGCTGAACTTACTCTCTTCGATTGGTGCACCTTTGTTTCGGTCAAAAGCACTCTATCATATGCGCTTTGTCATGCATCCTCACTAATTATCTAGTTATGCACATAAACATTATAAACCCCTTCAAAATGCAACTAAGTAAAGAACGCACTTATTTACATGATTTGATAGGATCCTACTTATGTCGCAATTGTTCTTTACCATATTGTTGTGTAATAGAGTTACCATAGTCTGCTCCACCTACAAACCACCAGACTTTTAATTTCAATGAATATGAATCATCAAGTATTTTGAATGTGTAATAAATGTTTTTGTGTTGATGCTACTCTCCTCATGTTCCATGTGGCTGTTATCACCTTTAATGGAACACCGTTTTTCGGGCGCTCTTTCAGGTAAGGCTGCTCATATAGTTCTTATCTTTCTATCTCTATTTTTCAAGCACTTCTTTCTGTCTCATAAGAGACTCCTCCACATCAAACATTGCATTAAATTCGTGTAGTTTTCAAGTTTCATCTAATTGTTCATTTAACATTTAGTAGATTTAGTCGCATTGAGTTCAATTCTTGATAATTTTTTAAGGTTAGGTCAGGTCAAAAAAGATTTATCCTTTATTATTACCCTAATCCTGACGTGGATAATCTGCCTTTGACTGAACCGGGAAGGGAATTAGTTGAGAACCGCATCAGCCAACCCAAACATCCCTAAAAAAAGAAAAGACATTATGCATCACATGATCATGCAATCCACAGGGTCAACTACAATTAAGAACCATAAAAATGGATTAAAAAATAAAGGCAATTAATTATAATTATGATGATGGACAGCAAATCTCAGGTATGTGATCAGCTTGTTTATTTGCTTAATCTAATATTTAATAAGTCAGATGTCAATATATTGTTGTTTAGTGCACTGTTTTTAGACCATTTAATTATAGCTATATTATGTAACTCTGTACTTCAACGACCATCCCTGACATAAATGACAGATAAATATATCAGAATCAATTATCAAAATACGGTACTTTTCAAACAAAAATACTAAAGTACGGTATTTTTAAACTTATTTATCAATCTACGACAATTTTTTGAAAGCAGAATTGTTGATTCACGAATCTTGTGCATTGAGCACTATTTATGTAAAAACAACTCAAGTAGGAGACAAATGTGTGTATATATATATATGTATAATAAAAAAAATTTGGGTGAGAGTGCTTGAGAAGCTTTCTCTCTCCAAATGCTTAATTTTTAGATTTTTGAAATATTTAATTAACCTCATTTCCAGTCAAATTATTCCATTTGGCTTATTTAACTACTCCCTAAATCTTTCTCACTGTCTTTTTAAACTATTTAAAATTTAAATTTTTACTCATCTTTTTACATTTTTTT